CACGTGACGTAATTAATGTTGACATTAGCGTTATCATAATTTTTGGATAGAGTGTTGCAAGGGCTACAATACCATGTAAAAATTGTTAGTCATTAATCATTATTATTATTTTTATCAAGCTTTTTCTGTTTTGCCCAACGAAAGTCTACTACATCCTTAATAGAGTCTTCTGAAAGTAATTACTGTAAAATGACTAATTTTCACTGGGCTTAAATTTCACTGATCTATCATTTCAGACAAATTCAGTGGGTTTTAAATTCACGGTTTCATCACTTAGATAATGTGTTCCATGCTCAATTTTACATATTCACTGTGTTTTAATTTAGCGCATGTTTCCAGTAAGCGAAATAAGCTAAATTAAAACACAGTGAATAATTACCCCCTTTACAGTAGTGAATAACAGAAAATATGGTTTATCCACAATTAGTCTGGACACAAAATCTATACTTACCTTTGTACAAATTTATTAAAAATCTCTCCTCGAAGAGAGTTGCAAATTTCTTCAATATATAGCTGAAAGTAGGAACAAGGTTTTTATTTCATTAAAAATGTACATATAGACAAAGTAAGGCACATGCATTATTAGAAGGATATATAAATCAATGGTTGCATGAATTGTATACTGGATAATTAAAAATATAACTTATTTTGACTATACACACACTTCTCCACTAATAGACTAAACACAGTTAGTGCCCTACTGCACATTTCCAGCTCAAATAAAAATATAAACAAAACAAAAAACACATAAAGAAGAAAAAGATGTGTTGATGGTTGAAATAAGTATTTTTTCAATAATCCAGGATAGAATAAATACAATATTTTGTTTATATATACGTTTCAACTAGAGATGCGTTTCTAATAAAACAAATACAGTACATTTATACCTGTACATGTAATAGAAAACAAAATGGCTCTCAAGCAGCCATTTTGATCTGAATCACTTCCTGTACATGTAACAGCGTGGATCTATCTACTCAGTCCTATTTCATAAAGAGGAAATTCAAATAACGAAATTGTAAAAGGTACATGGTTGAAAACTCATAAATAAATGTAATAAGGTTATGACAGGTATCAACAAAATTCAATGACATACATGAATATAAATGTAATACCATACTATGACAAGTACAGCTGGATGCAAATGAACAGTATATACAATATTCTCTGTGCTGTTTACAAAATTGGTTCGAAATTGGAGAATGTATAAGGTAGTCTGCCCATCCATTTGCGCATATCAACACAACCTGGATCACCGGACCGTTAACAAATTATTGATATCTAATAAAATTACCGACTTGTAATGAAAAAAAATACATGGCACATAAAGTTATATTTTCTGCTGATTAAAAGCATTTTGGTGAGTAAATAACTAATAATTTGTATTTGTACTATATTTCAATAAAATTAATATTACTTCAACATTCATAAATCAATTGTCATAAAACATTTTTATTATCATTTTCTTATTTATAGTTTGTACGACAGACCTAATAAAAAGACATTAATTTTAATAATGACTAGCAGCATTGTCTCATTACATCCCATACCTATATTACCTATATTATCAAGCACCACACATTAACTGTTACAGGGAATGCTATTGTTTCAATATTTGTTCATACCTGTATGCAATGAAAAATTATGTACATTTTTTCCAAGTAAAAAAGAAATTGTCAAAAAAAATACTTTTAAAAAGACAAATTATAACATTATTTCCTGTATTCAAATTTAAAAGATTTATTTTGTGTATTTCCTTCAAGTTTTAAATTGTATGTTTCTTTTTCCATTTATATAAACAAACAAACAAATAAACAAATAAATAAATAAATAGGTACAACACACACTACTGGTAATGCTGCTAGGAATATTAAATGTTTTTAGAAAAACCAACAGTTGTTTCGCTGTAACAAAATTAATGACAACATACCTCAAATAAAGTAGTTGGAACTTCTCTCTTTGTGAGCTTGGACTGTACATGTTCAACTGCTTTCTTGGAAAATGGCTAAGTATAAAAAATACAAGACATTACCAATTATTTGATATATAGTCTCACACAAAAAAGGAAAAAAATTAATGGTTGAAAATAAATAAATTCTGAAAATAGAATATTTATATTATACATTTTAAAGATGAGTGTAGTTCTTGAATAATGTTATAGGGGTCCATGCTGAATAGTTTGTAGTTCATGGAAATGATGAAAAAAAAAAGAGTGCACGATATATGTTGTGAATACAGCGATTGCAAATCAAATTCTGTCAGTGGCTGGCTCAATGACAGTTTTCCAATGAGGTTGAAAAAACAGGCTATAAAAAATTGTGTAGAAGTCTTGTTTGGTACACAAAATATCAACAAAAACCTCTGTGTATATTGAGGTCTGGGACATAATTAGGCCCTCTGGTGGTCAAAGTAAATAACTGAAATCAACATTTAATCTACACATCTGCGTATGAACGTGTCTGTCAATGTAATCAATACATTACAAACAAATATTCACGTTTTAAATACAACAGCTGCTTCATGGAGTAGTTATTTTGTTCTTAGCTACCGTAAAAACCCCGAAAATCAGGCCACGTGATTATTCTAAAATTCTTACTGATCACAAAATTGCATGTTTTTGGTCCTCCATTTTTCTTTCTTTTTCTTTCCAAGACTAATTTATGTTTCAAATAATGGGAACAAACATTGAGGGATACATGTATATGTGGTGTTATGGATAGCGGAAGAATCAAAACATCTCACAACCGATCACCTACAAATTAGACATATGCACAACATAACCTACTGGCAGACGTTCTTCCAACACTGCTTATAATTTTTTTCTTTGATTTGCTATGAAATCCATGTGCAAGTGTCTTTGTCCATACAAAGCTGAAATATGTCATGTTTTCTTAGGCATAACTTAATGTCCAATGACTTGATAGGTCAAGAAAGCTATCACCCAATCAGATTACAGAAACCATTTTTCACAACTAATCACTTAATTGTGGTTGAAATTTTAGAGGTATGTGTAAAAAACAAAATGTATATTATCCTTTCAATAAAATGAATAGGGATACAAATATAATTGAGATCCATTTTGCAGAGAAAATGAAAGTAAATAAGGAAGACCAGTTGAATTACGATATTATAGATTTTTTGTTGTTGTTCTATTTCTTTTTCAGTAAATTCATTGAGGTCATGTGTAGCAGCAGTATGAATCGTATAATTGGATTTCTATAGATCAGGTTTCATGAATAAGATCATTTCTAATATAACATAGTCATGTCAATACATGAACTGTATTGTAAAAGCCAGCTCAGTTGGCAACAAAACATATGAACAACGGGTTTGTGTTGTATTGCCACTAAATACTTGATTGGCTTGCAGTTCAAAATATGGAGGAATGGGGAGGGGAGGTGGCATGGATTAAATAAGTACAATGTTCTATCTTTATGTTGAACATACTGTACATATAATGAATCTACATGTACAGTATAAATGCATTATATGTTAACCCTTTGAATGCCAAATATTTTTCCCACTAAAAATTCAATGCAAATATTTTCACATTTTGTCAAATTTTCAGTAAATTTCATCCCCATTTTGGACCATACAGACAGTTTCAGATACTGCTTTTAGTTTTTGATTAAAAGGTTTGCCAATTTTTATTAATATTTCATGCGAAGAGAAGCAGTCTGTACACCATAAATTTTGTAGATGATGCCGACAGTTGAAAATGACACTCAAAGGGCTATGAAGGTAAATGTACTGTGAATATTATTCATAAAATAACAAGGTACATGTACAATGTAAATATGAACACAATGAACAAATGTATTGAGGAAATGATCACGTTGAATCAAATTATGATGCGAGGAGAACAAATCTGGTAGAGAAATTAATCTTAATAATGAATGAAAGATGGAGAGAGAAAATGAGAGAAAGAGAGAGAACACTGCACTACAAGGTAGATAGAAATAAAATATAAAAGTCCACTTACGAGGTCCTTCTAATGTGTCATGCATTTCAAATAAAGAAATAATGATGACATAATTAATATTCATTTCCAAATTCAATTCAATTTATATTTTTGTTTTCTCAGCCATTTTAATACAGAATGTAAATTTTGATGATCTGGCAGGTCTTTCTTGTTTGGCTTCCTCTGGGCCTCATTTACGATGAAATCACTGAAGTACATGATCACAAGTTATAACAGGAAATAATGAACGAGGAGAGGATGACAACCAAACGTAATTCACACACAATGTTGACAAAAAGTAAAAAGAAGAAAAAAGCACTCTTGCGCACCCATGGGACAAACTGTGCAGACAAAAAGGACAAACATAAAAGCTTGTGTAGAAGACTTGTCAAGAATCATTGTTCAAATATCCTTTAAAAGATGTCATCATGGTTTCACTGTTTCACTTTCCTCCCATGCCTCCCAATTTATTTTTTCATTCATCGATTCAACTCTTAATAATGTAAGTGAAGAAGTTAAACATATATTCTTTACTTCATATTAAAGCAGATCTTTGATTTTACAATCATCTATTAGAGGTCATCAATTTATTTTTCTAGTTCATAAACATTCAACTTGGTGGCCATTGTCATTTTCAAACCAATTAACGTCACAAAGAATAAGTACATGTATCAAAATAAATTTGCATAATTTATGATTTTTATGAAATTACCAAGGATTATTACATTCTACATTTTCTACATGTATTTCATTTATTTCAGCAAACGTGCTTTGAACAATAAAGAGAAAACTGCACGACCAACTATAATCAACTGACAGAGTGTTGATTGACTTTACAAAACAAATCAGCTACATGTAAGTACAGTTGTCTCAAGATACTTGAAACAGCGAAACCAAAATAGGTGAACAGCCATTGAATGAGAACAACCACTCATTTATTCAAGACCTAAAAATATCTGTTATTACTGTAAGACACGAGGAGTAAAACTACAATATCATTTCAAAAATGGCGATAGGCAGAATAATTGGCTTGATTAGTAATTGTGTAATCCAATCAGTGAGTCAGTCTCACTGTGAATGGAGATTTATCACACAAGCTTTAACAATAATTATTTAATGATTGCTCTTCATTTATTATTCTATCAAAGACTCTCACAGCAGTACAGTACATGAGTTAAGATGTAAGTCAGTGAAAAGGGTGGGAATTGTACGAGGCATGACCTTAGAGTAACGTAAATCATAAAGGTCTATAATCATCCATCTTAGTTTAAAACATTGTCACAAGTTAGATTGGAGAACGAAAGTATAACTGTGTCTTGATAATCGTTACTTTGTTCAGAAGAAAGCTCTGGCTAAAAATGCACCTGTTTAATTCCACTTTGTGGACCTGGATCATCCTTGGCATGTGATATGTCCGTATGAATGCTCTGCTCTGATGTTGGAAGAAACAATTCACAAAAAATAATGGCAGATTGCATATCCGTACATTCAATAAATTTGAATGGAACATTATTTTGAGAATGTAAGTCACCTGAGCAACTGACTTTAAACTAAGCATTATGTAAAACATTTGAATTGATTTTGAAGACTGCATATTATTTCAACAAATTGTAATATATTAATAAGACTGTAATAATGTTTCAGTTGAATTAGAAATATCAATTTGTGACATGAGACATTGACATAATTATGAAAGTGTCATCTACTGAGGGTGTCAACTGAAGGTGGTTGGTCCAGTTATACAGTCTCTTTAATGTCTGAACTTAACAGCGATAATCTTTTTGCAAGCTTAGGAATTAACACTTTTCGGCATGTGCTGAACATGGCTAATAACAGGACTTACATATATACTGCAGATTAAACCACAAACTTTTAAGGCCTATGATTAAACACTCATTTACCATGGAATAACATTGGTATTAATGTCAAGATCTAGAGCCATGAAATAACTATGTAAACTAGGCATGTGTCCATGAAGTATTTTCACATCAAATTCAAAACAAGGTGTCATCACAGTGTGGGACTGTACAGCAGAACAAACAAAACAGACACCACCGGGGTACATTGTAGTGTGGCTTTGCTAAGATTAATTATTTTTTGTTTTCTTCAGAATTCAAACAACAAATCAAAGCATCTGTTTCTATATACTGGTAGATCAATATATTAAAAATAAACCATACAGCAAAACCCTGATCACAGTCACTCTACTAGGACGGTTAGAAAGCGCTATTGTAAAAAGGTGCGAACGAGCAGCTTCTGAGAACATACGCTGATATCAAAACTATGACGTAGTTGTCATCGGAGCGCATTATTTTTCTCCTTTATTCATTGCGTTCGATGTTGCTCGAGGCGACCGTGAATTTTTGAAATTGTGCTTTATTTTTACATCAAACTACAATCTTAACAGAACTATGACTAGGAGTGAT